CCCCTCCTCCCTCCTTGTCTTCCTCCTTCCTCCGTCCCCAAACCCATGCCGGCACGAGCTTGGAGAGTGGCGGCACGAGCCGGTCATGGGGTGCTCGAGCACACCCTGTTGTCGTACGAAGATTGGGGCCTGTGCCCGCGGATCGGGCACGAGCCCGACAGGTAATGACCAATCATTCGGCGCGTCGGGACGAACATCGCTATGTCCATTCATGCGCCTTTTGTCCAACCAGCCCCTCTCTCCTCCCACTCTGTCTTCTTCCCATCATGAGTTTTCATCCCATCATGGTTGATGCCGCGTGCGTGCATGCGTGAATCGCGTTGTTGCACGTGTGTTCGGAGTGAAAGCTGACAACTAACCATTATGTATGGCACGAGCCATCGTCGGGGTGTTGGACCACCCTTAGTTGCACAACGACGGATCGGGTTCGAACCCGCGCCCCGGGCATATGAACCCCGGAAGGCCGAACCCGTCGACGGGAAAAACGCCAGGCAGATTGAACCTTGCGTTGCTGGCATGCAGCATTCGGCTGCGTTTGCCGTCGCGCCACAAAACTAGAAGCAACGATGTTCTGTAGCAACACAGGGACACGAGTCCGACTAGGCCGCCGCCGGCGGTTAATTTGGTTGCGCTCTGTAATAGTAGTAGCTTGGGTTGTACACGACACGTGCCCACGAGGGCGACGCAGAACGACAAATACCATGTCCCTTGAGGCGTGGTCGTACTGTTGCACAGGTGGCCCGAGCCACGATATCGTCTACGCACGTGTGTTGCATCGCGCATGTAATAAACACGGGTCCTCAAGGACACGAGCCCTCACCGCAGGCGGTGTCCTGCATGTCCGCCAAGAGGCACGTCGGCTCGAGGTGTCCGGCGCTCCGTGGCGGCATGGCCAACCATGCCAACGAATTTGTGTCGGTCGCTTGGCGGGACTCAGTGCCGTCCAGTGGGAATGGGAGCCGGTCCGCTGGCGAACGAGTCCCTGACGTTCCTGCCTTCGTCTCGGTGGCATGGCAAAGCCGTTCCCACGAAAGTGGGGCTTCGAGGCAACCCAGAACAAGCAGCCGTGCGCCACTGGTCCAACACGACGGCCATCTGCCATTTTCGGCAACAGGGCTTCCGCTTGGAGTCGAGCGCGCAGACCACGGTGACCAGCCGCCAGAGGACGTGAATCGTTGCACATGGTGGATTACCAAGGTGTTGAGTATACAACCTGAACAAATAACGGGCTGGATAGTTGCGCGCTGTCTTGAAGAATTTGGGAAGGAAGACAGCGTGGCGTCGGCATGCGCTCTGGAGACCTTCGATGCTCGCATGCGGGCGCAGGGTCTTGGAAAGCTCCTCACGACAACACCGCCCCAGAAGAAAATCAAAGTTTTGAGCTTTTGTCCCAACGCAGGCACAAACCTATTGGACGAGCAGGCTCAAAGGCACATGTTGCAGGCGATCAGCAAGTCGCTGCCAAATTATATGGCGGGCATGCGGGCGTGGGCCGCTTTTTGCGATGCCACCAACACGCGCCCGCACTTTCCTGCTCGGGAGCAGTGCGTCTTGCAGTTTTGTTCTGTGTTCACAGACCCTGACATCTTGTGCACATACCTAAAACATGTCAGATGGGCCCACAGGTTTCTGAGGATGCCAAATGATTGGGACACCTCTGTGGTTCAACAAGTGCGGCGGGGATTCCGGAAGGCTGCGCCCGTTCCGAAGCCGCGCCTTGGTGTGCAAGCAGGCGATGTCCGCAGACTCATCAAGCACTGCGTCAAGTGCGGCGACAGAGAATTCGGGGCCATACTTGCCATAAGTAGACTGTTTCTCTTCAGGGTTTCCTCCGAGGCATTGCCGCTACAGCGGTCGTGGGCGCATTCAGAAGTACGCTGCCACGGCGGGCTTGCGGTGGTAATCTTGATGAACAGAAAGCACGTCCGTGGCCCCTCGACACTTCGACGGGAGTGCTGCTGCAAAACTTCCGGGAGGTTGTTGTGCGCGTATCACTGGTTGAAAGAAATGCTGGCCGACGCTCAGAATAATGGCCGTGACAGACTGTTCTCACGGTCCCCGACTGCGTTCGTCCAGGATCTCCGCCGGCACGCGGCGGCCGTGGGTCTGCCGGAAAGCGACAGGCTGGGCAGCCATGCGTTGAGGCGAGGAATGGCCAGGGACATTCTGGACGCAGGGGGGTCGCTGGCCGCTCTCTTGAAAGCCGGTGATTGGCGAAGTGCAGCGTACGTTGTCTATTTGAGAGAGAACCAGGCTGAGGAAGCTGCCATTTCGAGGCTAGTAGTGGAGCATTCAGATTCTGAGTGACGAAATTAACTGTATGTCATCATTGCCTCCTCTGCCTTCTGCCTCCTGCCTGCGTCATCTGCCTCCGCCCCCCTCTCTCTCTCTCTCTCTCCCTTTCTCTCTCTCTCTCTCTCTTTTCTCTTCTGTCTGGCTACTCATGCTTTTCATTGTGCCCGTCACACGTCGATCGCCACGATGGGTGAGAGCTCGCGATCGCCACGATGGGTGGTGGCACAACGAGTCGCGAGCTTGAGGGCCTGGTCGGTTCCACCTTTGTCACCCATCGATGCCGACCGAAACGCTGCTCGTGCGAGGGCTTCAAATACTTCCAACACACAGGGTGTTCGCTCGGAGAGGGACGATCATTTTCCTCATCATACAACTTGTTGGTATGAAAGGAAAGTGGGAGGAGTGAGAGAGCAGGTAGCATGGTCAGCATACGTCGTCCTCCTCTCTCCCTCGTTCTTCCTTCCCTCCACAGGTATCTTCAATGAGTTTGTACGCGTTCGTTCATCGACAGAGACAATATTTGTTTCCCGCCCCCCCAACCGAAGCAAAAACATTGCGTGCTGCAGGGTGGTGACACAACGAGTCGCGAGCTTGAGGGCCTGGTCGGTTCCACCTTTGTCACCCATCGATGCCGACCGAAACGCTGCTCGTGCGAGGGCTTCAAATACTTCCAACACGCAGGGTGTTCGCTCGGAGAGGGACGATCACTTTCCCAAAGTTCCCGAGTGTGGGGGATACTGCGGTCGGCGCTTTGGATGTACGCCGCGGATGTTGGCCAGATTTGAGCCCCCCGAGGAGTCGACTGAGTTATTTTCAATTGCAGCCTTCCTCCTATTCTCTCCCCGTGGCCCGGCCATTATTTCTAACGGCTGCGTCGCTGCCCCAAATAGTTGTTCCAACCGATGGCCTTGGCCAGACGCGATGTTACCAAGTCAGCGATGGTGCTTTGCATGAATTTCCAGCTTCTACTCTTTCCAGCCTCCCTGTAGAACCCTGGTGTTCCCCGCCCGCGTGTCCCAACGAACAGACGTCGATGGTCGATTCCCTCGCACACCGCGCTAGGCACAATCGGCGTCAGACTGTCACGGCTGCAGGCTGGGCAGTAGAGCAGGAGACATAGACCGTAGGGCGAGCTGGAGAGAAGGGGGGGAGAAGGATGAAGAGGAGGAGGAGGAGGAGGAGGAGGAGGAGGAGGCGAGGGCTTCAGCCGATCAAAAAGACGCAGTCACGAGTCACGAGGGGGAGGAGGAGGACAAGAAGGCGGAGGTGCAGGAGGAGGAGGAGGAGGACAAGGAAAAGGCAGTGAGCGATTGTGATCTTCAGTCCATGCTGCCCGTTGGCGGTCGCGGCTTCTGGCGTGTGCTCCCAAAGAGGGCCTTTTTTTCTCACGAGCGGGTCATTGTTCAAGGTGTGGGCGAATTGCGTCCTCTTCCTCCCCCTCTTTCTTCTCTTCCTCCCCCCTTCCCCTCCTCTACCTCCCTCTTCCCCCTCCTCCTCCTCCTCCCCCTCCTCCCCCCTCCCAACTGCCCCTTTCTCCCCCTTTCTCCCCCTTCTCTCCCTCCCCCACCTCGTTTATCATCATCCCTCACGCCGCCTCCCCCCCGGCCTGAGACTCGGGGCCTACTCCCCTCCGAAGGATCACCTGGAGCCCCGTGGAGGCTTCAAGAAGCCCTTGAAGCATTCAGAATCTCCTAGAGCCCCCCCCCCCCTCCCCGAGGACCCCCTGGACCCCCTGGAGCTCTAGAACCTCCTCATCCCTCCCCAGCCCTCCCTCCACCTCCTCCTCCTCCTCCTCCTCCTCCTCCTCCTCCTCCTCCTCCTCCTCCTCCTCCTCACTCCGCACTCCTCCTCCTCACTCCGCGATCCTCCTCCTCTTCCTCTTCCTTTTCCTCCTCCTCATCCTGCTCCTCCTCTTTCTCTTTTTTTCTCGCCCGCTGGCCCAAGGGGTGGAGGCCAACTCAACGAGTGCCCAAATTTCGTACGCCGAGCAGCGCCTGGTGACTCGGACAACATGCGTGAGATGCCCGGAGGTCTTCTGGGCGCCTGGCCTTCAGACAAGCGGCACCCTTCTGTGCCTGTCTGTTGCGAAGGCCTTACGGCCGGCGCCGCCGACCCTGAAGACGGCGACGACGAGGACGACTAGGATGTCGAGGAGCAGGTGGCGGAGGACGCTAGGGAGCAGGAGGGGCGAGGAGGAGGAGGTGCGAGTGGGGAGGAGGAGGACGAGGAGGAGCCAGGGGAGAGGGACGAGGAGGGGAAGACGAGGAGGGGGGGAGAGCAGACGGTACCCTTCTATGCCTGTCTATTCATCTCGAGGGGCCCTAGACGGATCCCCCCTTCGCACGGGGACCCCCGGCCCTCCCTTCTCATCCCCCCGCCCCCTTCTCCACTGCTCCTCGATCCTCTTCGATCCTCGATCTTCCTCGATCCTCGACCCTCCTCGATTCTCTTCGATCCTCCTGATCCTCATCGATCCTCATCGATCCTCCCCGATCTTCCGCGATCCTCCCCGATCCTCTCCTCTCCCATTCCTCCCCATTTCCCGCATCCTGCTCCTTCCTTCCCCCCCCCCGTGGATCAGCTGAGCCGGCCGACCGAGGCGAGGCCCCCGCGAGGAAGTGTGTACTGGGCGGCCTCGAGGCCCGGCTGGAGCTACTGCTGACCAGGGACTCGCTTCTGCCGTGCTGCCGTTTTTCGAAGCTGGCATGGGCGCAGCATCCGTGGCCCTTGATCCCCCCCCCACCCTGGAGCGGAGGTACAACTGGTACAACCTGTCGGAGCACTCGAAGGTCACCCCGCCGCGTGCTCTGCGGCTGCTCTCGCTCAGGTTGATGATGATGGTGTTGGTGTGGTGGTGATGATGATGATGATCCTGATGATGCTGATGACGATGATGACGACGGCGACGAGGGTGGTGATGATGATGATGATGATGATGATGATGATGATGATGATGATGATGATGATGATGGTGATGATTCTGATGATGCTGCTGATGATGATACTGCTGATGACGACGGCGACGAGGGTGATGATGATGAGGAGGGGGAGGAGGAGGAGGAGAAAGAGGAGTCGAAGGAAGCAGATGGGCCAGCCCCATGCGGACGCCTCATCATCATCATCGTCATCATCATCATCGTCATCATCATCATCATCATCAACATCACCATCATCATCACCGTCATCAGCATCCTAAACATCATCGTCATCATCATTATCACATCAGCCCCGCGACTCATGCCTGAACCCCCCAACCCCTTGGCCGGATTTCTTTTCTTCTTTCCGCGGGGGGTCAACCTTCGCGGCGACCCGTCAAACCAAGGACCCTTGGCGGCGCATGGATTTCTTTCCTTCTTTCTCACGCGAGTTGCTGTTGGAACCCCTGAACCCCTCCGATTACCGTACAACTTGTAATTGAGTACGACTGGTACTATCATGTACTAGCGCGCAGTTGCTCCTAGAGAGCACATTGTATTGCCGCGCAAGTATTCGAGTGCAACTGGTATCATAGTACAACTGGTAGAACTGTGCGCCCTAGTACAGCTCCCTAGTACAACCCTAGTGCTAGTACAACTCCCTGGTAGTACAAGTCCGTAGTGCCACCTTGTGATATCATGTAATGGTACAACTCCCTAGTGAAACTTCCTAGTAAAATGCCCTAGTCCAAGCAGTATTCGTACAACTCCCTAGTACAACTCCTTAGTACACGTCCCTAGCACATTCCCTAGCATTTTAGTGCAACTCCTTAGTACACATCCCCTATTACTAGCACAACCCCCTAGTGCTACCACTATTAGAGTGTTGCTGCATTGCACTTACAATCTGGGCTCTCACGCTTTTCCTCGTCTGGTTGCGCTGGGGCGGGTGGGACCCCTCGCGCGGGCACCCCCGCGGCTGAGAATTCATTCCGCTTCCAGAATTCGAGGCGGGGGTAACCCCCGTGCTCAAACCCCTCGCCAGGGATTTTTCTTTCCTCCGCGGGGACCGGACCCCCTGGGTTCCTGGGCGCGCCCCAGAAGTTCTTTCCGGATGGGCCCCCATGGGTCCTTCGTTGGAGTCGCGGGGCTGATATCATCACCATCATCTGCATCGGCATCATCATCACCAGCATCACCATCATTATCACCATCGTCATCATCATCACCACCATCATCATCACAATCACCATCATCATCAGTTGCAGCAGCATGCTCATCATCATCGTCATCATCATCACCATCATCTTCATCGGCATCACCATCACCATCAGAATCACCATCATCATCACCATCGTCATCATCATCACCACCATCATCATCACCATCACCATCATCGTCATCATCATCATCATCATGACCAACATCATCATCATCAGCAGCATCATCATCATCGTCATCATCGTCGCCATCATCCTCATCGGCATCATTATCACCATCATCAGCATCATCACCATCGTCATCATCATCATGACCACCATCATCACAATCACCAACCATCACCACCATCATCTTCATCAGCATCCTCATCATCGTCATCATGATCATCACCATCATCTTCATCGGCATCATCATCACCATCATCATCACCATCGTCATCATCATCACC